ATACAAATAAATGCGATGAAAACAGATAGGTAGATAAGTAAATAGGGGGATTTATAGTAACCGAAGAAGGTAAAAAATAAAATAAAAGAGATTGACAAGATAGTATCAAAATATAAGTTTTGTACAAAGTGAGGTAACAATTCTAAATGTCAATGCATGCCAACTGCTTCGACTAAAACTGAAGAAAATAATATTAGCAATAGTGAAGGAAATGAGCGAGTTAGCTTAGCGAGTGAAAATTTATAAAAATGAAAGCTTAGAAATGGAACGAAAAGAATGAGTTTAAAATTGGGAAGTTTGTTTTGTTGCAAGAAGAGGGAAATGCTCGGCTGTTCAATTTTTTATTTGAGTTAAAGTTATCTCTCAAGAAATAACTTTTTTTTATTTAAAAACCCTTTTTAACAATTTGGATTGATACTCTGCGAAGAGAGCGGATAAAAATCGTTTCAGTAGCACAGATTCGCATGCTTTTCCTCAGTCATCAAAAAAATTAGCGAAAATTAATATTTATTTGCTAAATAATAGAGAAAAAAGTATATAATCAAAAACAAAATTAGCAGACCAAATCATATGCGTATTCGCAAATCTTATTTATTTACTTATTTATCCATAAATATATTTGTAATTTATTTTTATAACTTTTAATTCGATCATTTGGTGAGAAAATAATATCATATTATATATACAATAATAGTATCGTGTAAAATGATATTGTTTTTACTCACTCCTATGAAAAAAGCAAAACAAGAAAGATAATGGATGGAATAAGGAAATTGTTCATATGCATAGCCGAAAGACTAAAACAATTCAAGTATTCAATTACTTTTTGTTTTACATCTGCGAAACTATATTACTACTAGAGATAGCAATTCCTCGCATACTAATATCGTTTACATGCACTGAATTTTAGTAATTCTTGCAAAGTTCAAAAAATATATTTTTAATACCAAGTATTTATTATTAATTTTTCACTTTTTTAGTAATTCAATTATTATGTTAAAACTCTAATATTAATACAGAAATTATTCTGAACTGAAAAAGTTTACAACAAAAACTGTAAACCTGTAACTTATCGTTTGTTTTAAAATACACAAAGTAGATAGACGTCAAATGTCTTATTTCCTTTTTCTCAGGGCAGAACAACAATGAGCCATTGTTGTAATTCTATTATAATGCAATAAACTACAAATTACACCGTGCACGAGAGGTCACTTCGATTAATATACATGACCTCTCGTACATGAAAATTATTTATTGGCAGTATCTTTAAGATTTATGGAGTAAACTAAATCTTCTTTTATTCTATACGTCTTATACAAGCTCCTGAAATATAGATCTTCAACAGTAAGTCAAATTAATTTTGTATATTTTACTTTTCAAGACTGAATTAATATATGCAATATTGGCATAACAGATAACTGTATTATTAAATGATACTAAAATTTAAGTGATAAAAATAAGTGATTTAAAAAATAAATTTAGGCATCAATGGGATTTCTTGCTGTGCTCAACCAAAGCTTTGACTCTATTTTAACGAGAAAATCTTCAAAAACTCGCAAAATCAATAAGCAATTCCAAAAAACATAGCGCTGTAAGGTAGAAACACTGAAAAATCTGCAATTTATTCTTTATTTTTTGCTGAGATTTATGCTAGATAACAATTGAATTTTCGGTAATAAATTTTTCATTTTTGATGCAAAAGAGCAAAAAATGTAAAATTGGCTAGTATCCAATTGCTAAATAGCAAATTCTTAAATTAGCAAAAAGACTGACAGCAATAATTTATATTTGACTTTCACGTACACGCAAAAAAAAGAATCCGAACAGCATTTAAGAACGATCACGAAAATTAAAATTGACTGATTTTTAGAAACGGCCAAGGGATAAAAATAGTAATGGTTCAACTCATCGCATTTCTCTTTTGAAGCTTTCTTCTTTTCCGAATATTTCTCGATTTAAGAACTTATATTCATTAGCTTATCTAAAATTGATAGTAACCAAAATATTACAGAAGAAGCATAGCTATTTAGATCAATTGGGGACAGCAATTAGGGGAAATAGCTTTTCCTAGTCAAGTAAATTTGATCTAATTTGATTGATTTCAAATACCCATTAAATCTACTCAAATTATCAACTGCAATAAAAGTGGACAATTATCTTAGAAGAGCATAAACAAATTGTAAACTAAATTTTAAAAACTGGAAACTGTTTTATTACTTTCCTTTCAAAATAGCACATTGTGGGTCGAGAAGTTAGATAAATTTAAAAAATTATCAATACTGAGTGAACTGTAATCTAATATTGTCACGAGTGTGCAACGTTTATCTGCGTACGCAAGTCAAAATCAAGCATTTGTGGACTAATCTAATTTTATTTTCCCCTGTCTGCTAACAGCTGAACTAATAATGTTTTTTGTAGTCCGATTGTTAATCAGCAAGAAAATCTTTGTTGAAACAACTAATTTACTTCATAGCATCGATGAAATATACCATAAATGGTAACAAAACCAGTATACTACCATTAATATCTCGAAATTATCTTAATGCTTATATAACACAGCTTTACTGACCTTATAATTATATGTAAATAGCCTAAGTAACCTTCTACTTTTTGTCCTTAGCATTCATTATTTCTCTTTTGATCGAAATAAAGTGTTCCTTTGCATAAGATCTGTATGACTTGCGTGATTTACGTCAATTTTAAGATAATTTCGAGCAATAAAAATTAACATATCGTGTTAAACGAACAAAAGCTCTGTAAATGCATAGCATTTTTAATTAAAAAAATTTGAATTGCATTTACATTAAATTAATGAAATCAATACTGTAATGTCAATCGAAACTACGTTTAAATCAACTTAACAATGCAAACATTAGAATATCATTTTTGATACTGTAATAAAACTAAATATTTAATATACGGAAAGAAATGAAAGAATGAAAATAGAAAAGTTAAAAAAGGTTTTAAGAATTGTTACAATGGTGGTGCTGAGGGATAAGTCAGGTCAAACATGTGAAGATAGCTTGCAAGGATAAGATGAGAAGATTAGCAGAAGGATATATGTAAATGCACAATTAGCATACACAGCCTTCTCTTGGCTAATAGTTTTGTTTGATATTCATATTACTTACTCAGACAGCTTTAGCTGAGAAGAGATAAAACATTCGAAGCAGGTATCAATGCATTAACTAATGAATGAATGAATAAATAAATAAATAAATAAATAAAATAGATAAGTACTTACTTACTTACTTTCTTACTTGCTATTTTATTTCGTGAGGAAAGAGGAGGTTTAGAAAGTTTGTTTACCCAGAAGCTAAGCTGTGGCTGGGTTAGCTCTTTTAGCCCAAATATCAAGCTAGTAATATCAGTTAGTGCCTTACTGCTCGGCTGACTGCTAAGCTAATTTCGAATTTGTAGTGAATGAGTAATCTTTTTATAGCAGTCGATATTTTATTATTACATTTAAGTTTCATTTAAATGAACTGAAAATTTATGCATTGTTAAGCAAAAAGTTAAGCTAATTTATAGTTAATTAATTATGCAAATAAGAACAGATCAAAATTTTGCTTGCAAATATATCAGGTTTTCAATCACACATTTAGTGCATTTTATTATTCATTCAATTTTGGTACATGAATATTTTGAGTGCAAATAATGAAATGATTAATTTACGGTGCTAAATTTGTTGAACACTTTGGTCAGATTTTTTTCTTTGCAATAAATTACTTATTTTTAACTATGAGACACTTCTCTCGACTGAAGTTGAAATGAGCAAAGCCTTTTGCATATTCGCAATTTATCAAAATTTATTCGCATTCAAAACTCATCAACAATTGCTCATATTTTGAATGTGCTGAAAAGAAATTGGTTGAAAAATAGTTTTTATAAAAATTACAGAGCAATTACTTCTCGCAACTTTATTCATGTCTAAGTACATACACTATCAAGATGAAAGATTTTCCTGTTCTGATCTCACTTACAGTAAAATTGGCAAGAGTTGGAATGATTTGAATACATACAATACACGTCAAGCACTAGACAAGGGTCAGGGTCACAAATGATAACAATGGGAATCAAGGAAGTAGGCAAAATGTATATTTTTATTACTTTTCCGATTAATCAAATCACCAATGTTAACAAACTTAATCACAGATGCGCAATGATCCAATGATCAATCAAGTTATGATTTGTTATCTGAGAGTTTAAATCTTTTTTATAAAGTTGTATCCACTTTTAACAGTTTGAGATTATCGAGCGAACTCTTATAAATAATTAATAATTTCTGTTTCTTTG